CCGAATATGGACCATCTTTTAAATGTCACATCTCAGATGGTTGCTAAAATTCATATTTGCAAAGAATTCTAAATGTCTGGGTAAGATGAAATTGTTTTGTGTTACTGTATTCCTAGAAGTATAAAAGCAAATGTCTGAAGCTTTTTGGTGGAAGATTAAAAAAGCAATCATAAATACTATATTTGTGATTCATTAATAAAATAAACAGGAAAAAAAGAAATTAGATTACATTTAGTCATCATGGAAAGAATACACAAGTAGTGAAGTTCCACTGCCCAGTTATGGTCATTGTTGAGGACAACTGAAAATTATTGAAAAAATAGTAAAAAAGCAACAAATATTAGATATTCAGCAACAATTACTTCAAAGAGCATTGCAGTTACAATCCGCCAGGCTAATGTTTCTCAGAAAGGGTTACACATCAGAACTATTCAGGTAACATTTCATAATGCAAATACATGACTACCACCCTGGACTGAATACACTAGAAAGTCTAGGAGTAGACTTAATCATATCTATATGTATTTTTAATCTCCACTTCTGATTGTGATGCAGGGCAGATTTTGGAAAGACTATGGTGGACAGACTGGGAGCTCTTTGAGGATAGAACCTGTCATATACATTCTCTGATCTCCAGAGAAGTTCCTGGGATATGACTGAAAGTTGATATTTATATTGATGAATAAATATGTCTTAATCACTTCTGTGCTGCTATAACAGAATACCTGAGACTGGGTAATTTATAATGAACAGAAACTATTTTCTCACAGTTCAAGAGGCTGGGAAGTCCAGATCAATACACTGGCATCTGGAGAAGGCCTTCTTGCTCATCCTATGGAGGAAGGGCAAAGAGAGGGCAAGAGAAAGGCAAGGGGAGGCTAAACTGTCTTTTGATAAGGAGCCCACTCCCACCATAATAGCATTAATTCATTCAAAGAGGTAGTGCCTCCATGACCCAAACATATCCCATTAGGTTTCACCTCCCAACACCACATTGGTGGTCGAGTTTTCAATACCTCAACTTTGGGGGACAATTCAAACCACAGCAGTGTATGAATGTGATGAGCTAAAATCCTGATGTGACTTAAAATCACCAGAGGAAGTTATGTGAGGACAAACTGGTAAATATAAATAAGTCAGAAAATAAATCACAAAGAACATATGTGTTCAAAAAGGATGATGCTACCAAAAAATATTTCACTGAGTTCTCATTGAGTATTCAGTAAGCGGTAATACATTTTTTAACTCTTTATGCATTTTATTTTAAATTTTATTTTACTTAGTAAAAAAACAAAGATTCAAAAATATTTAGCTTAAGAAATGAAAACGATAGTGTACATGAATATATCTTAGCATAAATATATTCATTTATAGAGCAGAATTAAATTCCATAACTGCAGAGTGACCACAAATGGTAAAAGTGTTGCAATTGCTATTAAAAATAATAAAAATAATAGTTGTGCTCTTGGCAGTTAGTGCAGGCTCCAAACATCTTTGATAGTGATAGAATCTCAAACAACTGGAGTCACAAAACCAGCAAACTTTTCAATATGGTCTGTATGTATAGATGTTTGTGTATACGTGAATATATAGTATAAATAAATCACAAGGCTCGAAATAATAATAAATATGACATTGGAATGTCCTAGGTTTAGATTATTTTAATTTAAAATAGTGGATAAACACACACACGTTCTGATCTTCCAAATTTAGTTCTCATACTATATCAAATGAACTGGCTATGCATTCTATGAAACTACAACTCATAATAATGAAGTATTTGAATTGTCAAGACATGAAATTCTTGCAAAAGGTAGTCTGCTTTATTAAGCTTGGCTTGTGTTCTTATTGCAGCCTTTTATTCCCTGAAATCTCCCTTCAGCTGCCATGAGTTATCGTCTATTTTTTATACTAACCTTCATCTAGGGCCATATAGATCCAGAGCAAATCAATTTCTATCTTCCATGCTTCAACCAACATTTTGTTTTGATAAAATGGGGCAAAACGGGCATCAAATAGAGCCTTGAAGGGGAAATGGCAGGTTGCTGTGGAGGCCTGTTCTTATATGTGCACAACTGCGGTTTTGTTTTTAGTCATCCAGTCCCAATTCATTTTAGCTGTGTGAGCTCTTCCTTTCCTCTTCAGTGGGACTACCTCCTTTTGACAAACTTCACAACAAAACAATCTCAAATTGAGCTTTCCCTATTTAGAGCTTTATCTTTACTTTGCTATGCAAAATTTTGAGGATACAAATACCAGACTCTCCATTGTTTGCTTGTTGTGGTGAAAAGGATGATGGGTTAGAGAGCTAGGTCATCTGTTTTGTTTTTTCAGTGGGGGCGTATGTGATTTCTTGACAATAAAGGGTTGGGCCCTATCAGAGGGATGCGCATTTATAACTTGCAGACCACCCCTCTCCCAGTCTCTTTCTATGAGAAACCTGACAAAATGATTTTGGTAATTTTTCTTATTGAGTCTCAAACTCTCAAAATAGTGTTCCAGGATACCAGTTTACCAACAAGTCATCAAAAGCACAACAAGTAAAGCCAATTTCCCATCCTTGGACTGCATGATCACTACATTATCTTTTAGGCCTGACATTATATGTTTTCTGGCTGCAATTTTTGATTATTCCGATTTTGATTTTATAGGAAATTTTCAGTTATTCTTGCTAATATGAATAGCACGATAGGTAATACCAAATAGTAATCCAAAAACAAACTTGTTTATACAAAACAACCGGTTTTAGTATCTGCTTAGTTTGTGTTTTTACTAATGGGGATTAATAGGAAGTAACAGTGGATTGGAAGAAACAAGATTTTATGCTAAAGCAAATTTATCTACTAAGCAAGATTCATATATGACTTTTGATTTTGGTGTATATCCTTCTAAATCTGAAGATTAAAACAGACAATTTTCCTGCCATGTTATATGTGACAGAATATAATACTGAAAGTAAATTTTTCCCCAAATTTCAATGTTTATAACTGTATAAGTTTTGTGGTAGAAGTATGTAAAATATTATATTTACTTAATTACCTGTAATGAGTGTAAAGATTGTCTCCAACTGTGTACCCCTTAAGGCACTTCTCTTAACTTGATTTTAAATGCTACAAACCAAAATCTCTTCTAAAAAGTGATTTTCTATTTGCTTATATGAATCATTAATGGTCATATATACCAAAGTATTGAAATAAAAATTTGACTACTCTTTTTGCATTAATCATTGAAATTCTAAGCATAAACTTACATTATTTTCTATGAAAATTGAATTCGTGAACAAGGCTAGAACATGTAAATTTTGCTAAAATTAGACCTCATAATGTTATGGTCTAAGAAGCATCCATCTGGGCCAGATGTATTGGCTCACACCTGTAATCTCAGCACTTTGGGAGGCCGAGGCAGGCAGATCACAAGGTCAGGAGTTCGAGACCAGCCTGACCCACATGGTGAAACCCTGTCTCTACTAAAAACACACAAGAAAATCAGCAGGGCGTGGTGGCACAGGCCTGTAATCCCAGCTATTCAGGAGGCTGAGGCAGGAGAATCACTTGAACCCAGGAGGCGGTGGTTGCAGTGAGCCAAGATCGCGCCACTGCACTCCAGCCTGGGCAACAGAGGGAGACTCCATCTCAGAAAAAAAAAGAAAAAAAAAAAATCAATCCTTGATGCTTTCACATTTATTGGAAACCAATATAATCTCTTTAATGACGCAATGCTTGACAGATATGTCTCTAATAATTGTTCATTTATTTTGCATGTATTGGTTGGCTTAGCATTAATAATAATAAATTTATTTAGTGATGATATGCTTATCATTAGTACTGCACTTTTAAGCTTGCACTTTCAATCAGCCTTCATTAACTGGCCAGTTCATTATATACAAGAACTTACTATTAAGTTTTCCTTTAAGTTTTTAAAGAACTATGTAAAACAATCTATAATAAATTTTGAATCTTAAGAATGTTATACTCGGGAGCTGAGCAGGAATGGTCTAAACCGGAGGGAGCTTGCAGTGAGCTGAGATCGGCCACTGCACCCCAGCTGGCAACAGAGCAAGACTCTGTCTCAAAAAAAAAAAAAAAAAAAAAATGAAAACTTTTTTTCATTGACTTCTTCTGCACTTATTTTTGAATTTATTTTTATTTTTTATCTTCATAGATTGTCATTATGAAATATTACCTCTTAACTCTTTTTTCTGTGTATGCAATTTCTTTACAATTACTTCTAATTTATATTTGATCTAGTTTTAAGTACATTTTTGAGGTATGCACATAGAATAAAGTGAAATAATAGATCGTTATCATATAGTAGGAATTATAAATTGTTGATCTGGGAACCAGAATGAGACAATGGCTACCATGTAGTATTTGAATTGATTTGATTTGACAATAAGCTTTCTTACTGTCAAGGAAAATAACAAAAACATTTTTGTTTCTCCAATTTATGGAAAGGGGAAATGTCATCAAGTTTTTAGATACCAGAATCATTCTGTTTTCTGTGGCCAGAAATGCTTTCCTCCAAAACTTCATCTTTCTGTTTATTCAATAGTTTACATATTATCTACTTTTTGAAACCTTGTATTATGCATTCAGTGGGGAATTATCTTTTCTCTGAATTATAAATTCATAATTATAAAAGTTTATCTACCACAAATTGAATATCTATCATGTGAGAGGCAAATAACAGACACTGTGTTTTCTCTAATCCTTGCAATAATCCTGCAATATTCATGCTGTTTTACCCTCGTTACAGATGATGAAACTGAGCCAAGAGAAGCCAAATGATTTGCACAAGGTCACATAACTAATAAGAGCAGAAATCTTGGAATACCAATAGCGCTTTGTAATTTGAGGATCTCCTCACATAGAATGTTCCTTTCTAAAACATTTGCGTAGCTATATAAAAAAATCTGTAAGCTTTATCCATCCACTGCTTCTTAAAAAGGGAAAATATGTGAAACCCATTAACATTTTGAATATTACTGTGCTTTCTTGCAGCCTGTGAACTTATGAATCAAGGCATCTTGGCCCTGGTCAGCTCCATTGGCTGCACGTCAGCAGGATCCCTCCAGTCTTTGGCAGACGCCATGCATATCCCCCACCTCTTCATTCAGCGCTCAACAGCTGGGACCCCAAGGAGTGGCTGTGGACTCACCCGGAGCAACAGGAATGATGACTACACTCTCTCAGTTCGCCCACCTGTCTACCTGAATGACGTTATCCTAAGAGTGGTCACAGAGTATGCCTGGCAGAAATTCATTATATTCTATGACAGTGAATATGGTAAGTGTTTATAATTTGTGTGGGTTTTGTAAGCTGATATTTGCATGAGAAGCAATTTCATTAAATCTTAAAAGTTTCAAGGATCTTACTCATTGTTATTTGTGGTTTTCTTGTCTTGTCATATTCTTCTTATAAACCTAGTAGCAACTGAAAATTGTGTTGAGGTATTTAAGTCCAACAGTTTGGTATAAAGTCAACTTTAATTGTAAATACCTATACCTACTTAATGCTTAGTTTACAAATGTTTCTAGAGAGAATCTGACTCCAACACATCTTGATTTTTCAAATAATGGTAATTTAGTCATAAAAACAACACAATCTTTCTTCTCTTTCGAAAAAATATTTATACCTCCCTATAATGCAGAAGATCATATTGGATAACCCTAGAACACTGAAAATTTACCCCTTTCTATTAATTGGTTAAATGAAATCTGACAGATCTTGCTTACACCCTTGTGTAGACTTTAATACCTACTCAGTACTTAACTCCTTGGAGTCACTAAAATTATGTCACCATACAATCCATATTATATGTTGTCTGCAGTAGGAAATCTCACAAAAATACTAAGTAGTATAAAAACAATTTCTTTAATCTTCCAAGGTAAAACACAAAGTATTGTCCCTGAATTTACCATCATTTGAGAATAAAATGCTTTGTCTCAGTATACTTACCGGTGCTTCATTAAAAACTAAACAAATAACATTTTTGTTTACATTTATTTTTTCTGAATTTATCTACCTTTTTTCTAACTGTCTGATCCCAGATATCTTAACCTATAGATTCCCTCTTACTTGTGGCAGAAATAAAATAGAGATGAGTATGACCAAATGAGGGGAAATGAACAGATCTTGATTAAGAATGCATATTTTGAAACATGTGTTTTCTTAGAGGTTACATCTTGAGAAGGAGTCTTGGAAAAATTTTATGTTCAATCGAGATGGGTTCAGTTTTTACAATTTTCTGAAAAGAAAGTCAGAGAGGATTTCACTCTCTGTAGTGTAACTTATTTTTCTTTGCAAATAAGTAAATAAACATCTTTAAAATGCCTTCTTGTCCTAAGCTACCCAGCAATGTGAACAATATTGGAGAACAGTTATACAAGAGTCGGCCAGAAAGTGCCATCAATAGAATTGAGAACAAACAAGTTGGCAGAAATCTAGGAAGCAACAAATAAGAAAGAGCTCCTGTGGGCTCCCAGGGAGGGAGAGCAAGTGGCAGTTACATTGAGCCCTGAATATTCAAGGGTCGCATGGGGTTTTGGCAGCCAGAGTCCCATTAAACTTGGTGGGTAGGCTTCAGCCAAAGTCTGTGGCACTCTCTGGAAACAACTCCTTTGTCTCCAAGACGGAAATCCTTATTTTTGTTGCTTAATTCACATTATCAAGGGGTCACAGAACAAAGTCTAAGAGACCTAAATGAATAAAATAAACAAAAATGATATTAAAAATAATTGGCTCATCAGTTAAAGTAAGGATTGAACTCAACACAAGCCTGAAATTCACTAATAGGATTATTTAGAGAACATAGTAAACTCTTTGGAATCGACATGCTGAATAAGACTTTGTTGATTTTCTCACAGTCAGATTATTTGTGGCCTTTGTAACTTAAATGGTATTCTTATAGTCTCTGATCAAACATATATTGAAATAATAAATTTAAAAACAGGGACTCTTTACTTAAGGGGGGAAAACAATTTTCAGTTAGTACTATGAAAGTGACTTTTTAATTTTTTTTTTTTTGTTGGGAGTTTCCCTCTGCCACCCAGGCTGGAGTGCAGTGGCGCGATTTCGGCTCACTGCAGCCTCCGCCTCCCGGGTTCAAGAGATTCTTCTGCCTCAGCCTCCTGAGTAGCTGGGACTACAGGCACATGCCACCACGCCCAGCTATTTTTTTTTTTTTTTCGTATTTTTAGTAGAGACAGGGTTTCACTGTGTTAGCCAGGATGGTCTTGATCTCCTGACATCGTGATCCACCCACCTCGGCCTCCCAAAGTGCTGGGATTTAGAACTGAAAAGGGACTTTTGATTAAGACATTTTATCAACATTCAAACAAGGATATTACTCATTCATTATAAATGACCATGAAGAAAGAAAATTCCTTGTTAGCTTGTTTCCAAGTCCTACGTATATTATAGTCAGGTAATTTGTATAAAGGAAGACGTTTTTATTATGGGTGAGATAACTATATTTTGAAAATATATACTAAATAAATACATATCACAGAATCCTTTATACATATTTGAAATTTCTTACTCTTTTCTCCTAAGTTTTTATTTGAGTAAATAAGATGGAATAATCATGTAATATATGACTAGGTCATCTGTTAGATCTGAGGTTTGCTTTAGGAATTTTCTTTTATTCTTAGGATAAACTTGCTTTTTCACTTATTTAGCTTAATAATTTATGAAAAACATTTCTGCTTCTATTATTATTTCAGTAATACCCTTGTTTAATGAAAGAAAAATTCCCTTTAATACTTACAATTAATCTTGCAAGTAAAGCATTGGAATAGAGTCCAAAATAAACATCAAGCTATCCAAATACCTTGTACTTTGGAGAGGGCTGCTTGTATTTACATATCCATTCATCAGTGTCATAATTTTAATTTCAAACATCGGAATTGTATGTGACTTTTATGTTGGTTATCAAGAATTGCTTTCATTAATAAATAGATTAACTATCATTTATGGACGGAATTAGGCAGCTTCATGGGGCCAAATGTTATTGAAAATGTATTTTATTTAGAAAAAGTACATACTTTTTAAAAAGATTTAGACTTCTATATCAAGTTACTTAGATAAACCTCCTTCTCAAAAACAGTTAATTATAATTAAGGGCAAAATATAAATGTCTACTTTAAATTTCTTAACAAAGAAAATTGATATCTTTGATTCTAAGTCAATGGATGAAAAGATGAAAAAAATGTGGAAACTTTATTTGAATGAATTGATTCAGGACACATTTTTAAAAGGCTTGAAAATAGGTTGGGAAGTGTTCAGCTTTTAAAAATATGTCCTTCGGGAAATATCCATTGCTCACTTGCTCAGTGCAATGCAACCTATGAGATAAAAAGTATTTAAAACGTAGTCTTAGTCTTTAACAAGCTTACAATTAACAAAAGGTGTGTCTTAATAGAGAAAATAGTGGGTTAAGTGTTATGAATGATGTAAACTCAGGGCTACTGGTGTGTAAAGAAGTGTTTAATTTTGGCACCAGTGATTAAAGACTTTATGGAATGACTTCAATCTTGATTATGGAAGCTAATAGTATTTTAAGAGGCAAAAATATGTGAGAAACAGCCCCCCCACCAATAGAAAGTGTGATCAAATATTGCAGCAATTAACATATTAAAAATAATATCTCTGAGCACTTTAATTTGTCAAACACTAGAACAAGATATCATATCATTCGATCTTCTCAGTAGCCCTATGAAGTAAGGACACTACTGTCACAATTTTACAAATAGGGAGACGGGAACAACTGATAGGTAACTTGTTCACAAAAAATATAACTAGGAAGTATCAGATCTGAGACTTAAAGTCTGACAGAGCCTATAACCTTAATCATTTATCAGTATAAAGGAGTTGCAATAAACTATCACCCAAGAATATAATAAGGGCTAATCTAATAGAGAATAGTTACTATATCCAGCCTCTCTTCTAAGTGCTTTACATGTATTATCTCATTTAATCCTCATAATAGCCCTCTGTAGTAATTATTATTATTATTATTATTTTTTTTTGCAAATGAAAAAGCTGAGGTAGTTGGAGGTCAGGTAACTTCCAGTAAGTGGAGAAACCCCCATTCAAATATGAAAGATCTCTTCCTGTCCTTGCTTTCAACCATGACAGTATTTTAACATTATAGATATAAAAATAACCTATATCTGTTGGAATAATTTCCAACAGATTGTGAAATAAAAAATAAATGTATAAATTACATAGAATCATTTTCAGTAGAGAGACTTCAAGCCCTCAGAATTCCAACATACTAACACCAAGGGAAAATACTGTATGTCAATTAGGAAGGTTTACTTATTATTGAAAGCATGGAAATGAGAAAGTCATTGGGACAAAATAGGCTGACCTCTCTGTAGCAGAAATAGCTGCCTTCTGCTTGTGGGCAAAAGTAGAAATGTTGCAACCTCAAATAAATCCTTTCGTTGTCGGATTAATACTTCTGGCACAGTAAAGGTTTATGCAGAAATTCGAGAAAGCCACCTGGCTGTTTAAGGTAAACTCTGATGGCTCACAAGCTTCGTTTACCAGCCTGGCTCAATAACTATTCTTTTTTCTTTGCAAATAGAATGCCAAATTTGAAAGTGCAACATTCCCGGCTGAAAAACTATAGTCCTGGGATATCTTACAGCTAACTTTTGTGATGTAATGCTGTCAGAAATTGTGAAAAGTTGGGAATTTTACCCTATTTACAAGCTAACAAGTTAGCTGCATCCATTTCATGGATGCTGGTGGGAAATACTAGGCTTTCAGATTGCATAGAGAGACTTTATTACTCATGGTACAGCAAGCAGCATGACCCTCATAGTAATGTCTGTTTCTCTTGCCCTCAAGTTCCACAATGCAATGTGGAGCACTTCAAATGAATACTGTATGTGTAATGGGCTTGTATGGCAGCTAAGAAACCCTGAGCTTAGGGAACCTATGTGTCCTGTTCCCTAATAAGAACTCCTGCTTTCAAAATGTGTAGTAACACAGGAGACCTATGGAGAATTGTCTCCCAATAATGTAATATTCATGTTCTTGCTACAACATTGTGGGCTAATAGCAAATTTCCCCCATGAGATTGCCACTCTTCTAGTTAATCTGAAAGGTAGGGATTGGGATCATATCCATTCAGCTTTTCTCATCTGTATTTATTTAAAGATATGATAAACAGGACTTGAATGATTAGGATTGATCTCAACCATGCCCACCAGGGTCCTGGACCCAGCCAGTTGAACAAATCCTATGAACCACTGAAGTTTACTTTAAAAAGCCAG